AGTGGAGTAGAGGTGGACTTTTTAAAGGCACAGTAGCAGGTCTTTGAGAGCCAGAATTCTTGCTGTTTCTTAGGTGTTCAAATACTTATGTTCAGCAGTGCAAGACAAATAAATTCTTTAAAAATCATACAATGTGATTTCCTGAATTTTCTAAAAAAAATTCTGTCTCTCAGAGTGGGAATGCACCTACAATGTGAATTTCAGACCCCTCCATGATTTCTAAGTGGGAGAACTTGCAAAATCGCAGGGTGTTCAAATACTTCTGTTCCTCACTGTATATTTGAGTGGTTTTGCGCATGTGTACAAGCAGTTTAGAAGAGTATTTCAAGCGTTTTATATGTGTATTCAAGCTTTAGGTATATTTGTTTTAGACAAGTTTTTGTTGGGAGAGTGCCTGTGATCAGCACAGGGCCAATCGGCACTGTCCAGACAGAGGGTTAGGGGTCATGCAGCCTCATAGGAGAGAGGAGGGAGAAAATGAAAACTCCTCCTACAAGCTTTAACCAGTGCTCTGCTGGTACCACCAGATTGCTGTAACTGCTGATGAGAAAAGGTATTTAGCAATTTATATTTACTAAAATAATTGCACTTCCATGCTGTGTGTACTGTGGGAGACCAGACATAGTGAATGCAGGGTCCGGGGTTTAGTAACACTTTAAGCAGGTATAGATTTTTTTTTTCCTTTTTGGGATAAAGGTTTTACATAAATAAAAGCTGATCATTGTATGCACCCCTGTCCGTGGTAAATGGTTTGTCTCATCCCTGTAACTCCAAGTGAGCTTGTTCTTATGAAAAACAGACTTACTGGCTGGATCACCAGGTGAATATAGATGAAAAAAGCCTAAAGAGAAAAACTACTACAGCCACCACACAGAATTTGTAAGCTGCAGTATAATAAAAGTTTTCTTTTGGGTTTAATACTGCCTTAAATTGAACAATAATCTATTGAGATGAAGCTGAATAGAATGCTACATGGCAATTCTTCTTTAGTAACACTTGTATTTACGGTGTAACATGTTACTATGCATCCACCCACTTTATCCCCTGAGCCCCCCTATGACATCGGGCAGGCTATTCACTCCCTGCATCGCTGTCACATTTTAGATCGTTGTGGCTGCGCATTGCTCTGTCTGTACAGCTGTGTCATTCATTCACATGAATCTGTGACTGAATGAATTACAGTACAAGTCCCATTTGCCAGTGCAGCAGATGGTGTGTAGTTTTTCAATGGATTGCTAGTGTACTGATTAGCACCTTTTGTAGTCCATTCACTCTTCTTGCAGCTCTGCAAATTACAGCCTGTACAGAGGTATGGGCTTAGAGCTGTAGGAAGAGAATGCAGGAGCCTGGCATTGCAGCTGCGATCCACTGATTCCAAGTGCAATGCTCTTCAGGTTCTTGAGGAAAAAAAAAAAAAAAATGCACTTTTTTTTATCCTTTAAAATATATATTAAAAAAAAAAGTCTATCTGTACACTATAGTGCCAAAAGTATTGGGCCGCCTGCCTTTACACACATGACCTTTAACCCCTTCCTGCCCAGTGGCAGTAGTACAGTGTCAGTGCTTTTTTTTTTTTTTCTTTCAGCACTGATCACTAAATTGGTGTCACTGAGGATGTCAGTGATACCAAGTCATTTCCCCCCAGTCCCGCTATAAGTCGCTGATCGCCGCAATTACTAGTGAAAAAAAAAAAAATCCCAGTATACCGCCATTTGTAAAGGCTATAACTTTCACGTAAACCAATTAATGTAAACATATTGGGATTTTTTTTAGCAAAGATGTAGCAGAATACAGTTTGGCCTAAATTTATGACATTTGATTTTGTAATTTTTTTTACTGGACATTTTTAATAGAAAAAAGTAAAAAAAATTGTTTTTTTCTCAAAATTGTCGGTCCTTTTTTTTTCTATTGTGCAAAAAAATTAAACGCACAGGTGGTCAATTACCACCTAAAAAAAAGTTCAATTTGTGGGAAAAAAGGGCGTAAATTTCATTTAGGTGCAACATTGCATAACTGCGCAATTGTCAAAGTAACGCAAAAAATGGTCTGGTCAGGAAGCAAGTAAATCCTCAGGAGGGCAAGAGGTTAAAAACTGGTGCGTCCTGGTGTAGCACTCCCGACTCCCGCAGCTGTGACCCGTCTAATGTCACCACAGACAGCAACAAAAAGCTGACATGACCTCTAATCCCTCTCCACTCCATCCAAAAGAAAACAAGTTTTGCCTTTAGTTATGTTGTCATCAATAACAACAGAATTATGAAAGGCTGGGAAACAGCCTACAGCACAGCAGAAGTATACAGCCGACAACTCCGCCACCACATCTTCACGGCCAGGCTATTGTAATCACCAAAAACAAAGTGTAAGAATTCCTATTGACGAACCTTACAATACATTACTAATGCCTGACGTAAAGCGTTCAATGAGAGCTCTGAGCAAGTCTCGCGAGAGCTAGAAAGTTTCCCATATGGCCTTGCGGGCTCTTCCTCCTCCCTCTTTCCGCCATACTGCAGACCTGGTGAGTATGGGAGAATCGCGGGCCTGACTTTTATCCCTGTGTTATCGCCGGCATCCCACCACCTACCGCTTCACCGCTCTGAGTTTCGTACAGCAAAGACCCAGCGCTCCCGGCAGAGCTCGGTATGGGGACGGGGCGGTACTCGGATGGTGTGGGAATGGACTGTGAAGCCCGGGGTCGGCTCCTTGCCTCCCGCCTTGGTGATGAGCCGGGCAGAACTGTGTGTCTGTAGCAGGACTCTCCCCGTGGTCTGCGCTGAGCGGCCCGCCATGCCGGAGTTTCGGGATCCTGGCTGTGCACTGATCGGGGATCCTCTGCCTGTGTCTGGCCCATGTATAGGACAGGGGGGCTCCCTGTGTGTGGAGGAGCCTGGGACTTGTAGTTCCTCAGCTCCCTTCCTCGGCATTGTGTCGTACATTTCTATAGATCCTGAGGACTCGGCTATGTCTGGGCTCAGGAGGTCCACCGCTCACCTCTACCCGTTGTGACATTGTAAGCCGTGCACACCGCCCTCACATCCCTGCCGTCCCTGTAGTGGATGAATGGAGGGGATCGGGCTCAGTCCAAGGAGAAAGGATAACTAGAGACATCACTTTTTCTCCCCTCCTCCTTTTTTTTTGTTTTGTTTTGCACAGAGTGGAGAGGCATTGGGGAGCCTGTAGGGTTTTTATTGCTGGCTGTCCATTAAGGAGATTTACTCTTTTTTTGTCCTGTTTTCTCTTTATCGGTGAAAGTAAGAAGTCCCAAATTTTGGATTGTCACCAGAAAGGTAATAGAGGGGAAATTTGCCAATTGGGACACTAGTTCTGGTGACCTGGGGGTCCCCAAGGAATTCCCTTCATTTGCAGGGATTTCCTCTCACTTCCTGGTTGTCTATGGGACAGGAAGTGAAGGGAAATCTCCCCAATTGGATATAGATGGCAAAAAAAAAAATATCTGACTGGTTATAACCCTTCATGACTCTTTCCAAAATGAAAAAAAAGTTTTGCCTATAGTTGTACTTTAAAGCAGAGCTCCACCCAAAAGGGCAAGTTCTGCTTTAAAGACTGGTCCCCCACTCACCATTAAGGATTGGCACCTTTGGTGAGCGGGTACCCGACATTGACAAGTTCCCACTTCCGCTGTGATCGCTTAGGCAATCAGAAGCAGAAGTTGTCCTACCCTCTCCGTAGTTTCTGGGACACTTGACAGATCCCAGAGGACCATTCAGGAAGCACAGCACTACTCGCGTATGCACAGTGGGTACCCGGCTGTGAAGCTGCAAGCTGTCGCAGCCGGGTGCCCACACTGAAGATACCAGCGCCTGGAATACCAGACGGCTGGAGAAATGGGCTGCGGGGAGGACACCACGGGATCGTTTTTGTAGCTGCTGACTTTTATTTTTTCACAGTGCGACTGGAACTCTTGCTTTAAGCCCCTGTTCACACTAGTGTTATCTGTTGTTGCACTGGCCTGCCTGACAGTGGTAATCATATTCTCTATGGTGCCTCTTCATATCGATGCAGTGCGCTTTTTATGCAGCATCATGTTTTTTTTTTGGCTGCAGAGACTTCAGTGGGAACACAGTGAATGCATATGTAAAATGCACCTACATGTTTGTATGGCAGTTTTGTTTATAAAATCCAGTCTTCTCTTCCTACAAAAAAAAAAAAACCCTGAAAATGCATCAAAACTAGGTGTAAAATGTGATGTTTTTTTTTTTTTTTTTTTCTTGCTGAACCACAATAAATATATTGAAACAGAAAAATAGATGTAAGCCTGCTACAAAGACACATGATTGTGCAGCAGCACACATGTGAACCTAGATTTACACATTATCACAAACACAAGATTTCCCAGTTTGTGATGTGCGTTGCCCATCCATGTGCACCTTGCTGCAAAGCTGAAGAGCCCTCAAAGCTCTTCTATGTGCTATAAATCTGGTATGCAAAAGAGTTAGAGTGGAACTCTTGGAATTTTTTTTTTCAATAGTGTACACGTAAGTTACCTGTAACAATGCCTATCCTAGGTCCAGATGGCTTCTGTGTAGTGTCAAAATCTTAATTTCATTCATGCTGAATTCATACTTCATTGAATTCATACTTATTGTTCTCCCCCACCTTATACAGCAACCATCTACACTTAGGATAACCATCATTCGAGTCGATTTATTTGTACACCACAAAATTTAAGTTTTGTTGTTGTTTTTTTTTTTTTTTTTTTTTTTTTTCTTTGGGGTTCAGCTGTAAGTTGTACTGACTGTCGCAAACTGATTTTTCTTTAGACCTGCCACCTTAATTCAGGGAAGCTGGAAATTTGTGAGTGAAGTTAGGGTAGTGAGCATTTTAAAAGTACTAGACATGGCTCTTTACTGGTCCTATGATATCTCTTAACATGTCTGCCTTGTCGCTGTACCAGGCATAGCAGAACAGTTCACAGCAAGCAAGTAGTGTTTGTCCTACAGCCTTTTGTCAAAGATCTTATGTCATGTTTTCTTACAGGCACCATGGTGCGCATGAACGTGCTTGCCGATGCTCTTAAAAGCATCAATAATGCAGAGAAACGTGGTAAGCGCCAGGTTCTCATCAGGCCGTGCTCAAAGGTGATTGTGCGATTCCTTACAGTGATGATGAAGCATGGTAAGAATTGTTCTGTTTGCTAAATGTAATAAATTTGTAGATTGATGTGCCTAAAGACACTGTCACTTTACCATTCAGGGCAAAGCTACAGACTCCCTAATACTTCTCTTACCAATGTTTCTTTCCTTGCCCCAGCTGTCAAATATCCAGTGTTCCCAGGTATGGGCGAGTATGTGACTTCTTCTAATCACTGAGGTCTAGCAGCTAATCCCTAGGCCCAAGCACTGTGGCATGACTGAGGGAGTGATTTCTCTGCACCCCCTAGTGGCTGATGCTTGGTATCTTGGTGCTGCTGCAATGGAGGAAGGAGCACTTGTAGATGCTGGCAAGGTGGTTAGAGGGCACTTTGCTCACAGTTACTTTGTACTGAATAGGTGAAGGTGACAGTGTCTCTGCGACTTACCAAAGATCTAATTGGTTGTTTAAATAGTAGATATAAATGGTGCTGGTTTGCTTAAATAGTAGATATAAATGTAACCGCTCATTTTCTTATTCTTAATGTTTTAATCTGTTGCAGGCTACATTGGCGAGTTTGAAATAATTGATGATCACAGGGCCGGAAAAAATTGTTGTCAATCTCACAGGGAGACTTAATAAGGTAAGTTATGAGAAACCCTTGGCATAAGATGACTTTTGCATAACTCCAGGGCTTAAAGTGTTAGTTGATTCTGTCACTACTACAGCTTTAGCTTACAATTCAGACTTCCTAAGTCACTGAATTAAGCATGCCTAACCTGTTGGCAAGTACAGAACTGGTTTTGCTGCCCAAAGCCCCATTGCACCGTCTTGTCTTCATCTTCAGAATGTCCATGTCATGTTTTTGTTTACCAATTGACCACATATTAGTCTGGTCAGGTTTTCGTTTTGGTAGTGTGTGATGTAAGAAGAGTTTAAGAATCTGGGCCTGATAGGCTACCTGAGTTGGTTTTGGTCTAGTTGTTCAGGCATGTGTACTATTTTCCTGTGTTAAACATTTTGGATTTTTACCATAGGTTCTTGATATAGAAATGTATTACACTGCTTTCCAGGCCATCTCACACCCACTGGGCAGAGATGGAGATGCTGATTTCATTGACCAGCAAGTAGGTGGTGAGATGACATAAAAAGCAGAGTTGAACCAAAAATACTAATTGCTTGATTAGACACTGTGAGGGAGATTCACTAAAACTGTTGCGCTCAGAATTGGTGCAGCTCTGCCTAGTAGCTAATCAACTTGTAATTTCAGCTTGTTCAGTTAAGCTTTGACAATACAATCTGGAAGCTGATTAGTTTCTATGCAGAGCTGCACCAGGTTTTGCACACTCCGGTTTTAGTAAATACCCCCTTTGGATGTCTTCTGTCTGGTTGTGCAGCTTGTAAGTCACAAAATAGACAGTTTGGCTGGTGTCTTGCTTTTTAATGGTGAAAACGCAACATGTTTTATCATTCCTTGCTTTGTTTCAAGTAGATGAAGGATAAGTTGCAATGCATTTATAGTCTCAGTTGCTAAGTAGAGTTTTAGATCTTTGTCAGTACCTCTTTGAATCTGTTTCATCATTCCCTGGCACATGAGGATATTTTAACTTTTTAAAAATTAAGTCTTTGACTGGCCCATAGTGTGTGTGTAGTTTGAAATTCACATTTACAGCAAGTTGTGTATTTAAAGACTACCGGTTTCAGGTGATAGAAGAAACTCCTTTTCATCAAGGCTTCAGTTAAAGTGGTAATAAAGTCCCATGCATGGCACAGAGCACTGAAGGAACAAGATGGGCATGCAGTTGCTTCAGAGCACATGCACCGGTGACGTCTCCGGTTGCTGCTCACTGAAATATCTCCTTAAAGCCGAGTTCCACTCATGCTGTCAAAAAATATAAGTCAGCAGCTACAAAAACTGTAGCAGCTGACTTTTAAAAAAACAGTCACTTACCTGGTCCACGGTGTGTTCCCTGCAGCCCTTTGTACTGGCTGTCCTGTATTCCAGGAGGCCGGCATTGTCAGTGTGGGCAACCAGCTGTGATAGCTTGGGGCTTCACAGCTGGGTACCCACTGCGCATGCGCGAGTAGCGCTGCGCTTCATGAATGGTCCTGTAGTCTTCTGGGACCTGTCACGTCTTCCAAAAGAGTACAGGGAGGGAGGACATCTTCCGATCGCCTAGGTGATCAGCCCGGAAGTGGGAGCTGGTACCTGTCAAATTCAGGTACCAATCCTTAATGGGGAACGGGGGAGCAGTCCTCAAAGTGGAACTTCCCCTTTTGGGTGGAGCTCCGCTTTAACCTCCCTGGCGGTCTGATTATGTCAATATTTTTGACTGTCAAAGTGGTACATTGTTTTGCATGGAAATTTGTTTTTATATTGTAGGCATGTAATTCCTAGGAATAACTCACTTAAATCTGTCCAAACAAGAGTCTAATAAACATCCCGGTTATGATAAAGTTTGAAACACAAAATCATAAATTACAATATACTTATAAAAAATATTTAGTTCAATAATGTAATCAAACCAAAAACACTAAAATTTGTCCAAACAAGGGTGCAATATTACTAGACACTGCATATTGGTTTAGTAAACATGCCGGGTATGAAAAATTTTGAACCTGGGACTGCACAAAGTCCGACGTCACAATCGGGCTATGCCTGATTCGTACCACAGTCAATAGAGCACCAAGTTCGTAAATCACTTGAGCTCAGTTGCAGAATGGTCGCTGTGCAGGCAGGGCACTGGACAAAGCACTAGGAACAAAACTGAGGTGAAATGGTTTGATAGAGTAACAGATTACAATATATTGTGTGTGTCATGTTTTGTTTACTTTTTTGAATCTCCCACTGGTTCTGCCCCCCCCCCCCCCCCCCCCCAAACCCACTACAGTGTAATCCTGAGTGTTGCTCGGGTTTACCGGTTTTTGGTACTGAAAACCCTGAGCCACACTCGGGATTACCGCCAGGGAGGTTAAAGGTGCTTGTTTGGGAGATATTCATTTTACCTACAGGTAAGCTTTATTATAAGCTTACCTTGAGGTAAAAGTAGCAAAGTGGACTTTAATACTGCTTAAATAAGAACCATGGATGAACTCAAAATATGGCTTTCCTATGTGAGATCTTTTGGTACCTGTAGGAGGAAGTAGCCCTGTCTGTTGTAAGCAACCTAGCCTTTGCCAGTGACCTCTGAAAATGTGTTCATTTATTTTGGACTTTTCATTACTTTAGCATGAACTCGCATCAAAGTTCCAGTGTCTCTTGATGACTGCACACACTGTTGCTTATCAATATTATGGGCAGTTTCACTTGGCAAGGTTCAAGTAAGCGTAGGCACCTTTTGATACTTGCCTTGCCTGAGATTCAGCCTGACCAGAGGGTTTGGGAGCTGGGATATATTCTGTTTGCCTGCACTTGATACCTGCATACCCGCAGTGACACTTTTTAAAGCAAAGCTAACCATTGAACATGCCTTTCGTTTTGTTTTCTAATGCTTGCTCAAATCCATATTGGTTTGTTTGAAAGTCTGCTGTAACCAAAGCGGAGTGATCACATACTTGTTGTAATTGAGAATGTCAGCCAGTCACTGATTGGCTTTCTTTGTGTAAACCAACCAGTCAGTGGCTCTGCTTTTAAGATTTGTTTTTTAAATTGAGTTTTAACACGTTCTAGCCCCAGCCAAGTAGAACAGGAATTATGCAAGTGTTGGTGTGTTAATGTTGCATCTGTAATTTTTGTCTATATGATAAATAGGGCTTACTAATTAGAGGAGACTCCAAAAAAAAAGTTAAAAAAAAAAATACTACTTCTGTAATACATATGTACATTTCCTCCACGTTTCATTCCTTTTTAAAGCCCTGGATGTACAGAAAAATACTCAATTTTTTAAAACTTCCTATATAGGGCTGACAAGGCGATGCCTTCTCTGCACTGAAATCTCAATTCGCTTTTTCAATTCTGCCTGCTATACTAAAGAACTCCACCTATTACTGCCCCACCCCATATGCATATATAGACTACTTTCCAGAAACACAGTGCTGCTGCCATGACTCAAGTCTTCCCACCCCCTGTTTGTAGGGAGATGTGGTTCTTGGGGTGATTCTGTTGATGTGCCTACATCAATTAGGACTGGTGTTACAGCAGTAGTTTCTGCAAACTTTTTACAAAGTTACAGAAAAAGTAAAGCTGGGTCAGGATCTAAAGGGGGTAGGGGTAAACTTCAGTGATGTCTGGACATTAATGTTCCACCCTGAGTAAGTTTAAATTAATGTCTGGCTTTTGTTAGACATGGATTTTCTAGAAAACTAGAAGTTTCATTTGTAAATGTAGTATTTTTCCTTTCTTGTGTATGTCAGTCATGAAATGTCATGATTGGCTTCTGCACTAGCTTAGTGTTCAGCTATATTTTGGGGTGTATAGCCTGACCTGCTATGATACTTGTGCAAAATGTTGGTATATGTCAATACCTCACCTGGATGTCTTATTTTCTGCACATTGCTGTAAGGAGAAAGCTCACCAGAAGACTTTAGTAGGTGCAGACATCTAGGGCTAACAGTAATGTATCAGACAAATGAAGCAGAGCAGCTCTTTATCTACCTTCACTCTGCAAGAGCAACAGTTGCCATCAGCATTTGACAACTCTGGTAGTCTTTGATGCTCGTGGCTCATTGTGGTTTGTGCCTAGGAATGAGAGGCCAGAGCATAGAACCACACTGTGTGGTGGAGGACACGGCATCCAACGGACATTTGTTTTAAAGCAGATGGGGAAGTTCCACTTTATGCCTTTGTCCCCGCTCCCCATTAAGGATTGGCACCTTTGGGGAGTGGGTACCTGAATTTGACAGGTACCCACTTACGCTGCGATCGCCTAAGGCGATCCGAAGCGGAGGTTGTGTCATCCCCCCGTACTCTTCTGAGATGTCGCAGGTCCCAGAAAACTATAGGACCATTCAAAAAGCGCAGCGGGTACCCGTCTGTGAAGCCGCAAGCTGTCACAGCTGGGTGCCCACACTGAAGATAGTTTTTTGTGGCTGCTGACTTTTTTTTTTTTTTTCTTTTCATCTTGAACTGCGCTTTTAATATAGTTCAATTTGACCAAGCTGGTCTGAAGAGACTTTTTCTTTCAATAACACATGCAGTGGTTGCGTGCGCTGTATAAACTGTAGGTAGCATCAGGTGACATACAGGTTCCAGCAGCGGGATGTGAACTTTCATCCTGTTCCCGGGAAAAAAAAAAAATCAAGTTAGGCTGAGCAACAACCGCTTTGTATTAAACTATATACTTCTTTTGGACCATCTTAGTTCAAACTAACGTTCGCTAAAACCTGGAGTTGGTCTTTGAGCTGTGTATACTTGATTATGCATTTACTACCTATACATGAAGTGGTGCTGCTGTATGGTGTCACTAGCTGTGTTCTATTATTCTGCTCTTGATTGTGTTAAAAATCAGTGGGGTCTGTTTGGTAGTTTGCTGTTATGCTTAAAAGAGAAGGACAGTGGGTATAGAAAAGAATCGCCCCCTTTTTAGAATCACATTTTGTTGCTTTGCAGCCTGAAATGAAGATACGTTTTTATTTTATCCAGCTGTATTACTCTGTGCAACTTATAACAACCAAGTGAAAGAACACCAACATGTCAGAAAAAAAAAATTAAAAACTGAATCGCTGAGTTGGAAAAAGGATCACCCCCTTGTGTCAGTATTTTGTTGACTTACCTTTTTGCTTGAATTCCACCCTTTAGCTCAGGGGTCCTCAAACTTTTTAAACGGGGCCAGTTCACTGTCCCTCAGACCGTTGGAGGGCCGGACTATAGTTTTTAAAAAAAAAAAAAAAAAACTATGAACAAATTCCTACGCACACTGCACATATCTTATTTTGAAGTGAAAAAACAAAACGGGAACAAATAAAATATTTAAAATGAACAAGTAAAGTTTAATCAAAAAACTTATTAGTATTTCAATGGGAAGTATGGGCCTGCTTTTGGCTAATGAGATGGTCAATGTCCGGTTCCATATTTGTCACTGCTAGTCGTTACAAGTGATGCGAGTGTGCATCAGTTAATCTAGGTATGGTTGGAGATTTCAGATATTTCATTCGGGAAAAAGTCTGTTCACAGACATAAGTGCTGCCAAAGATGGTTGCCATTTTGACTGCATGGTTCCTGAGATTAGGATATGTCTCAGAGGGGAGAGATGCATAGGAATTAGGAAGGCTGCTTGAATTGAATGCGTCTTTCAGAGAGTCACAATTCTGCAGTTCAGCCAGTTCCATTTGGTAAATTGGATCCACAATTTCAATGTCAATAGAAAATGGGTTCCGGAAAAGCTGTATGTCCTGTTCATGGAGATGAAGCTCTTTAAATCTAAATTGGAACTCCTTTTGCAACTTTTCCAGTGAATCCACACGTTTTGTTTGGGAATGCAACCGATGGTGTTTCCACTAACAGGTTTTGAGTTGTGGGGAGATGGCAGAAGTTTTCCTCCTTCACTTGTTTGCAGCCTGACCAGTGCCCATCAATGCAGCCTCACCAGTGCCCATCAATGCAGCCTCACCAGTGCCCATGTTGGTGGAACTCCGCTTTTAGCCCAGGCTCACACTGGTGCGGTGCGGGAACCGGCACGATTACAGAGCCAGTTCCTGCACCACACTTCCAGTTCACACTGCCCTGTGCGAACCACTGCGGGTGTCATAAAAAAGTTAATGACACCCACAGTTTTGTTCACAGATCGCACAGGAATCGGATTGCATGGGTGAGAAGACCCATGCGATCCGATTCCACTGCAGGAAAAAAAAGGCACGTGTGCCTTTTTTTTTTTTTTTTTTTTTCCGAATCTAATGCAAATTCAGCCATACAAGCATATGGCTGAACTCGCACTGCTCAGAGATCACATGTGATCCGCACCTGCAGTGCGGGTGGGAATTACATGTGATCTCTGAGATAGCATCAGTACAGCACACAAGGTACAACTGAATAGCAATCAGAATATAAATGCACTTGCTGTCAATTAAATTGGGTTTGCTTCTCCTCGGCTGTCTGTCACTGCCCAGCGAGGGAGAACTGCAGGCAGCCCCTCCAGAGATCACTCTGTTACCACCCCTCTATCATTTACTCAGCGGTGCCTCGCCGGCTGGATCTACATCCCCAGCACACAGGAATATCACTGGGGGTGGAGCCGAGGGGCATGTGAGGTAGGGAGAGGCAGAGCCAGTCAAGCGCGGCGGTGCTGGTGGAATGAAAGTGAAAGTACGCAGGGGATGCTGCCGTGGATGACAAATATTACAAAACACCCAGCGGGCCAGATAAATGTCCTCAGCGGGCCGCAATTTGCGGACCCCTGCTTTAGCCTGTTGGGATAAGTTGCTACCAAATTTGCATATCTATACTTTTTTACCAGACTTTATCGAGTTTAGGTCTGGGCTCTGACTGGACCATGCAAGCACATTCAACTTTTTTTTTTTTTTTTTTTTTCTTCCACCTTCCCATTGAAAACTTTCTGGCAGAGGGCAGCAGATTTTCCTCAAAACGATGTGGTCTCTCTCCCCCCCCCCCCCCCCATTCATTTTTCCTTCCTGACAAGTGCTCCAGTCTTTGCTGCAGAGAAACACCCCCATAACAGGATGTTACCACCTCCATGCTTTACTGTAGGAGTAGTGTTATTTGGATGGTGAGCTTTATTGGATTTCCGCCAGACATATAATTTAATGTTTTAGTCTCATCTGACCATAATACATTTTTCCATGTGGCCTCAGAATCCTCAAGGTGCGCTTTGGCAAAGCTCAGTTGTGACTGCATGTGGCCTTTCTTGCAACCCTCCAATACAAGCCACATTTGTGATTTGTCATAAATTCCTGCAGCTGCTTCAGAGATGGTGTAGGCCTCTTGGTAGCACCTTTGACCAGTTTCTTCCTGGCTCTTTCATCCAGTTTGTAGCAAAGTCCTGACCCAGGAATGGTCTGTTGTACCAGATACCTTACACTTCTTAAGTCTTCACTGCGCATCTAGGCATTGATGAAGCCTTTGACATTTTTTTGTTTGTATCCGTCTCCTGACTTGTGCCTGTCCACAACATAAAATCCCAGAGATCTTTTCACCGTGCCTTGCCATCCATAATTGTTTGCTTCAGTTGCAATACCAGGGACTGACATGCTCCAGGAAAGCTCTTTTCATGCTGAGATAATCAAAATGACCACAGCCGATCACCCCAAGTCAAATGGCTTTGTGTGCCATTTAAGTAGGTGATTAACACCTGATTGAGTTTACAAGTCATTTTTAGGGGGGGATGTTCCTTTTTCCAACTCAGTGGGTTTGTTTTTTTTTGTTTTTTTTTTTTTTTCAGATTTGGTGTTATCTTTCACTTGGATGTTATAAGTTGCACCTGAGTAAATACAGCTGGATAAAACCTAAATTGTGTCTGTCTTCATTTCAGGTTGCAAAGCAACAAATTGTGATTATTTTAAGGGGGGGGGGGGGGGGGGTTCTTTTCTATACCCACTTTATGGCCAAAGCTTTTTTGGCCATACTTTTCTAGTGGGTCACAGGAGTGCCTTTTTGTTCTCCTTTGACTCAGTTGACTAATAGCCTATTGCCCTTTATGGTCTGATGTGGCAGAGCTGCTTCAGGCTCTGGAAGGATCCCAACAATATTGTCAGGATCCGCCCAGGTTCCTTTATAGCAGCCAGCTCCCCTGTCTGCCATTGTTACAGTTGGGGCTTTTCACTCATGGATGATGCTGCCCGACACAGCTGTGCATGAATCTGGCAGTTGCTGTTGGGGGGGGCCTTTTTTTTAAAAAAAAATCCTTGTCTGTGTATGTGAATGTACAATATGTTTATAAAGCACTGTGTAAACTGAAGGACTTTAAGAAAAAAAAAAATCTGTTTCCTATCAAAGACTACAGGTGCAGAGGTCACTAATGCACATACTCTTGCATAGACTTTGCTAATTGACAGCCTGATTTGTCTAAATTTGGTGTTCATTTTACTTGGTAAATGCCCCTTCCTGACTTCAAAATACACTGTTTCTATAGAGCAAGTGCAGAAGCCAGCAATAACTAGTTGGTAATTCTTTCCTTTTTCTGGTTTACATTGATGAAACTGAGTCAATTGAATATTTTGGTTACTGCCAGACTTGTTAAAACACAAAATATCTTTGAAAGGAGACAAAGCAGTTGGCAACATATCTCATGGAAAATAGTCTTAATGAAACATGACCAGTGTCCCTGTCGTGGTTCTTTATTGCTGCTTGTGAATGCTATAGTGTTCATGGATGAAAGGCGGATGCTCTTGAGTGCATGGAATAGTTTGGGTTTTCAAGGGGTATGACAGTTCAGAGTTTTATGATTTGACATTAATACAGTTGACTGTTGCATCATTTTGTACATGTAGTGGTATATGGCCAGAATGTAATGTGATGTAATTTCTTGCAGTGTGGCGTCATTAGCCCCAGATTTGATGTGCAGCTAAAAGATCTGGAAAAGTGGCAAAACAATCTCCTGCCTTCACGTCAGTTTGGGTAAGTTCAATATAAACCTATATTAAAAAGAAAATGCTGCTTGAATTCTGATCACCAGTTTTGGTGGACAATAAAAACAGATCAATATTAAAAAATTTGTCTCAGTTCACCATTGCTCTATTGGTCAGCTCTAATGGTTTGGGGGTTTAAGTCCCAAGGATTTACTCTTAGATCCACTTTTCCCTGTACTCTTGGTTCTCTTATTTAATGTACAGCTCTCCTGGGCTGAAAAGCAATCATTAGACTTGGACTTTTTTTTTATTTTTTTTATAGCGGATGTAATATTTTTCCGTTATAATTTCACCACGTAGTGCTATTGCATAAGTAAATCTGTAGCTTTGTAGGCGAGTTCTACATTCTTAGGAGTAAATGGCCTGTCAGAGCGATTTCCAGATTTCTCTGGCCTAATGCTTGTTTGAGGTCAGCAATGCATTAGATGAGGATGGGACAGGATGCACCAGAGTTTGCACCTTTAAATATTCATCAGCAATGGCAACACCTCACACTGTTCTATTGTAATTATTATTATTATACAGTATTTATATAGCGCCAAAGGGTTTGCTCAGCGCTGTACAATAGCGGGGGGGGGGGGGGGGGGGGGGGGGAGACGACAGAACATGAGACAAAACAGTACAATACAATACACGAGGGGTTTTGAGGGCCCTGCTCTTTCGAGCTTACAATCTAGGAGGGAAGGGATAGTGGTACAGGAGGAAGTGGCTGTGGGGGATGGAGTGGTAGGAGGAGTGGAGGAGATCGGTTGTTAGGTGAGGGTGGGGTAGGCTTCCCTGAAGAGGTGGGTTTTCAGGGTGTGCCTGAAGGTGAGGAGGGTAGGTGATAATCTGATGGATTGGGGTAGGGAGTTCCAGAGGATGGGGGAAGTCCTGGAGAATTCCTGCAGTCGGGCGTGGGAGGAGGAGACCAGGGAGCTGGAGAGTAAGAGGTCCTGTGAGGAGCGAAGGGCACGGGTAGAGTGGTATTTGGGTATCAGGTCGGTTAGGTAGTTTGGGGCAGCATTGTGAATGGCTTTGTATGTCAGAGTTACTAGTTTGAATTTAATGCTTTGGGCAATCGGGAGCCAGTGAAGGGATTGGCAGAGGGGAGTGGCAGATGTGGAGCGGTTGGTGAGGTGTAATGATTTGATTGTACAGGTTTGTGGTTGCAGTTAACATCATGACAGATGATTAGATTAGCCCTAGCTTTTTAAATTGATGGCACTTTTTTAGCACCTTTTTGTCAACAGGCTTTTGTTTGATGCCAGTGGGTTTGAATTCCCATACAACTCCGTGGGGGATGCAAAACCCACTTGCAGCAGATAAAATGCATGGCAAGCCTCAGTCTAGTTGACAAGCCCTTAGGCTAGTACTGTAGGTTATCATAGAATCTTAATCATGCTAATAAAAATCTAGCAATTAATCACATGGAGTAGTGATTGGTAAACAAGTAACACTTACCTTAGGTTATAAGTGGCATGTAGTTGCGTATAATCTTACGTATACATGATTCACTCCATGGGCTACGATTGAGAGCTGCTACACATGTATTTCGTTCCATATGGAGCGGTTTTGTTTTATTTTTCTTTTTTTTTTTTTTTTTTTTTTTTTTTTCTTAAGAAGACCACCACCACCCCCCTCATGCCCCAAAAACTACTAGCACTAGGTAAAATTATGTAGCAAAAATAGTACTTGCATAGTTCCATGCAGCTTTTTATTTAACATTGGCAACGATCATGCTGCCTTTTCCTGCTTGTTCCTCAACTCCCACCAAAAAAGTAATCTGTGTTGACTGCCTTCTACCTTTTCCCCTGCGCTGGCTCGCAGATGCTTACTCCTTAGTAAACTAGCATACAAAGCATGTGACATAATCTTCCTAGTTTTGCACATGCGCCAGAACATTATATTCATCTAAAGGAAAACCCTTCACAAATTCTGAGGGTTTTTTTTTGTTTTGTTTTCCAGCAGATTAGTCTGTTGCATGGTGTGATATGAGCCACAAGACGACATACTACTTGCACATGGGCAGTTGGGAACATTATCTGAACGCAATAAGGGCGTGGCCATCTGTGTGCCTGTCGCTACGTCACTAGTGCTTTTAGCAGTACTTGCAGCTGCCTTACCACCTCCATTTGTTTTTGGAGGGAAATATGGGCAGACCGACATTAGACTTTTTATCTGTGTGATGACAGAATTGGGCTTTGGCCTTTATAGTCATATGATTTTTGTATCCGCAGTGGTGTAGTTCTGTAGGCTGCCATTGTTTATAAGTAATTTTCAAGTGACCAAAAATCCAGTGAAGAAAGTACTTTTACGTTGGTAATTTTAATGTCTTTAATTATTTAGGAAATGCAAAAGTCCAAATTCTGACTGTTTTGTGTTTTTAGGTATATTGTACTCACAACTTCCGCTGGCATCATGGACCACGAGGAAGCAAGGCGAAAACACACAGGAGGCAAAATCCTGGGATTCTTTTTCTAAACGTTAAAGCAGGCAGAACAATAAACTGTTATCAAAAATTACTTGTTTTTCTTGACTTGCACAATTCCGTTCTGGTGTGAGGTTTAACCTACCGCATTTATTGTGGCTGATGCTACAGATTTGGAGGTATACCTGCTGGGTTTTTGCTTTTGTTGCAAAATATACACTACCGGTTTGACGTTTTAGAACACCACCATTTTTCCAGCTTATTGACATTTAAACAAATTCAAACCCAGTGAAAAACCTGAAATTGTACAAAGGAAAGTGGTAAACTCTGAGGTGGAAAAAAGTATAGGTTAACACAAACTGAAAAATTTATGTATGTTTCAGAGTTGTGCAAAAAAGTCTTTTTTAGGGAAAAAGTAATGGGTTAACAGCTCAGTTCTGCAGAAATGTAAGTACAATTTAAGCCTTGAAAGTTTACACAACAATTCTTACAAATGTCCCAACCTTTGATTACTTACAAGTTCTCTGTATTAAAAGCAGTGTTGAAAAAGACTTACTATATCATCCTCGAATTGTATTTGGACAGTATTGTAATGCAGGAAGTAGTATATTGCTTTCAAAATGTTGAGAAAAGGGCAGTAAACGGAAAACACAAACCAAACAACTCTTAAAAGTGTAGGGCTTTCCTTTTCAAGAAATGGCAAAGAAAGCCAAGGTGTTGAGTACAGTTTCGTACACCATCGAAAGGCAATTAGAAACTGGAGGAAACTGACAAGAGGAGGTTTGGCAGATCCAAAGCCTCAACAGAATCGGAAGACAAGTTTCTGAGAATAAACAGCTTGTGACAGGTGGCTCACAGGATAACGGCGTAACACTGATTTGAAGTAAGCAAGTCTAAGTTTTAACTGTGAAGCAAAGACTTAAAGCTGTGGGTTTGACAAGTCAAGTGGCTGTAAGAAAGCTGTTCCTAGTATAGCAAACTAAGAGGCTTGTCTTGGCCATGAAGTGCCACCAGTGGACTACTGATGAAGAAGGTCTTGTGCACTGATGAAACAAAATTTTAGATCTTCAGTTCCTCAGGCTGTGTTTTTTGTATGTTGAGTAGGTGGAAGCATGGTTCCTCACTGACCAATTGTCAAACATGAAGGAAGACATTTGATAGTCTGGGTCTTTTTTGCTGGATCCAGAATTGGCGATTTGCAGAGTGGCAGCATGAACCAATACTACCACAACCTTTTGCAACGCCATGCAATATCCTCTGGAATAAGTCTATTTCAAGCAAGATAATTACCCAAAATGTATCTCCTGGTTGTGTCAGAACTACCTTTTTAGGGGAAAAATATAAGACTGTAGAATTCAAATCATGGAATGGCTAGCACAATCTCCAGACCTTAAACCCAATCGAGCTGATTTGCGATGAACTGGATAGAAGGGTGAAAGAAAGAAAAGCAACCTGCAAGTGCAACATATTTCTGGGAACTTCTCTATCAGTGTTGGAAAGAACTTAAAAAACAATATTGATTTATGTTGTAGAAAGAATGCCAAGTGTGTGTTCAGTTGCTATATCTGCAAAAGTTACTTTGAGTCACATTTTAGATGCCATGATTAAAGCATAAAAGGATGCCATGATTTATTTTTTTAGGTCCAATTGTTCTCTGCTTTATTTTAAGGTACATTGAAACATTAAAATGTCCAAAATTTCAATTCAAACTGGAAAAATGTTGGTGTTCTAGAACTTTTTGACCAGTAGTGTATACAGCTTATGCATTCAAATAAGTCCCTGGTTCAGAAGGCGCTTGCAACCGTTTGCCAAAATTAAGAACACTGGAGGCAGCTTGGATGGGAGAATGTTAACCTGCAGGGCTCTTTCTCATAGGCAGCAGTCCCTACTGCCCTCTGAAAAGCAGTCTGGTAGATCACTTTTCAAGGGTGGTAGTTGCAACTGGCAGGTATTCAGGGGACTTATGCTGTCTCCTAAATGCGTTTTTATAAAAAAAAAAAAAAAAAATCCATTTTTTTTTGTTTTAAAATGCAACGCTGCAAGCCAAGCAGCGGGCTTTTGGTCCCCAATTACCCCAATAGACGAGTTTGACAGGTGGTGCGGAGTTAAATTTTGAAGCAAAGCCTCTCAGCTGTGCCATGTGCAATGCACTATTCTGGTACAGTGTCGGGGTTTAGGTGGGTAGATGAGGGGGTGGTAAAAACATGAATCAACTGGCTGTTTTTACTGGCCATTTGCCACCAATGTAAAAAGGCCCTGCATGGGTGCTTTTGTGGTGATGCAGTAAATGGTAGTGATCCATTGCAACATAAGGAAAACATGAACATTATAATGCATTTTTTTAATGTCACCACTTTTTTTGTAATGGAAAACAATAGTCATACCTGTGACAGGTCAAAATAACCCCAAATAGACTAATGAAAATAGGGATCTGTACTGCAATCAGTGTCAATTATTTTTCTAAAATTTTTCTAAAATATTGCGTAGTTAGTACACCTGAACTCATCTGAAGTCACTGGGTAAATATAAGTTGTAGTATTTTTAAAAAACCTTGTGTCTTTCGCAGATGAAACCACATTGTGTATATACTCCAATTCCAAATAAGTTGGGACGCTGTGTAAAATATAAATAAAATAGAATGCAATGGTTTGCAAATCTCATAAACCCGTATTCACAGTAGAAAAATATCAAATATTTAAACCGTTAATTTAAATAAAAGGTAATTTTGAAATTGATGGCAGTAACATTTCTTCGTTGGGACAGGGTCATGTTTACCATGGTGTAGCATCCTATCTTTTTTTTTAACAGCAAATAGGACCTGAGAAGACTAGTTGCTGGAGTTTTTGGGAGAGAAATGTTCCATTTTTGCATGATAGATTCTAGCTGCTCAACAGTCCTGTCCTCTTTATCATGTTTTTCTTTCAAGATGCTCCAAATTGTTCCAACTGGTGAAAGGTCTTCACATCAGGCCACTTAACCACCTGTTCCTTCTATGAAGCAATGGTGTTATCATAGAATGCAGTATGTGGCTTAGCATTGTCCTACTGAAATATGTAAGGCCTTTCCTGAGAAAGATGTCACCTAGATGGGCGCATATGCTGCTCTAAAATCTGGATATATCTTTCAATACTAATGTCTTTCCAGTTGTGCAAGCTGCCCAATCCATATGCATTATTGCACCTCCATACCATCAGCGATGCAGGCTTGGACTGAGCATAAGCCAGATGGTCCCCACTTGGTTGGAGGAGGATTCCCACTTGGATGTGGGGGGAGAGGAATTGTGCTAGGAGAGGGGATTTGGAGGAAGGAATTTTCACTAGCGGGTGATTGTGGGGGCAGAGTTTTTATGGTGGCAGCAGGAGCGGTGTTCTGGGAGGATGTCAATATATGTACTCCCAGATCTCGACAATTATGCTGTAGCTGTCTTTTGGCTATAGCATGGTTGGCAAGTGGGAGGCAGATATGGCTGGCTGACAAAATCCCAGGCACCAGGATGCAATTTCTAGTTGCCATGGTGATCTGGCGCCTGGGATTTGTCTATCCCTGCAGCAGCAGTGGGGATTTGAAATTTGTAGTAGTAGGAGCATTTGGAGGAGAGGATTTTTGTACTAGGAGGGGGTGGATCTGGAGGAGAGTATTTGTACTAGGAGTGGGAATTTGGAGGAGAGGATTGGGGGGGGGGGGGGGGGGAAATTTGGACTGTGAGGATGGGGGATTTTTTGCATTTTTGTTTGAGAGTTTTGGCTTGTAGAGGGACTTTATGCTTAGGGGTGAGCGTGTTCTCAATTTAGTGCTGTTGTTTTTTTGGTTTTGTTTGGGGCGGGGGGGGGGGGGATTTCTGCTGAAATGTGATGCTTGCACATTGGGAAGGAGGGGGGAGGGTAGTTTTTCGCCTTGGCCACTAGATGACCCTATATGAGCACTGCACATAAGACACTCAACAGATCTCCCCACATAACACCTAGCTGATATCAGGTTCTATAATGGACAGTTGCAGTTCTGACCTGTGAAATTCCCTGATCAGAGTGGCAGCTGCTGTAGCTAGTTACACAGTGGGGTTTTACTAAAGCTGGTTCACTCAGAATATCATGCAGTTCTGCATGGAAACCAGTCGGCTTCTAAGTTTTATTGCTGAAGCTTAAGGCTAGGTTCACATGTGTGGGTGGTGCCACTGCAGATCAGCACGAAAATCCACGGAGGAAGATTTCTTTTAAACCAGGAGCAATCAGCGAAACTTAAGCTTTAAGCGTACAAAGAATGCTGCTGCCCACAAAAGTATTTTTGTAATCTGAGTGGTTTTAGTACTAGCTCTGCAGGACTGGGGCTAGAGGTACCTGGGCATATTCTAGTGGCTCTATTATTGTACAAACATTTTAAAGCATTTATACAGATTTATAAAACTGATGAAACAAATGCTGTGACTAAAGTAAAATGTGGTTATTTACTGCATGAGATCACACACTTTTGCAGCTTACACCATTGGGAACCCTTACTTAATCAGTTTAGTGGTTTAGATACTTCTGGCAATTTTATCCTTGCCTTCCACTGAGTGAAGGGGTTTAAGGAATACCCGAGTCCTTATGTTGCCTACATCACTTTAAGACCACAGGATCATTCTGTTGCTTCTACCAGTGCTATTCCCAGGCTTGAGTCTTTTTACAGCTCCTAAGATTCAGAGACTTTACCAGTGCCCTTGGAGCTCCAAGTCTTCCTTTTACAGAGATTGGCAACACCATGATAAGATGTTTGCTCACTTAAGCACTTACTAGATGTGAGTGGGCATGTGCACCACAGATACTGGCACCAAGCAATAAACCTGAGCCCTACATATCAATGCTGATTGGTCTTTCGTCTGTACACTTGTGACTTTTTATCCTGGAACTTATGCTGACCTTATTTCCCTTACACCTGACTTGCTTTTGGATTGTCCATGATTGCTGCTCCTCTCCACTACTGACCTTGGCTTGTATCTCTCACCAGGATTCTGCCTATTGACTTGGTACCGTGCTGTCTGTATTTCAGATTCTGATCCTTCCTACGATTCCGTGCCATC